ACATCAGGGCACATCAGGGCACCGTGTGTGGCAATGCATAAGGATGCTACAGGCACAGCTCCGCTTCTGCAACCTAGAGTGTTCCACATTGAACAAAAATGTCCATAAATTCTGTCAAAATTCTGTTTCAATTCAGTTCTCAAGCTGACCGAGGGGAGAGGGACTGGCTATTTCCAGTGGTGTTGTGGGACTTGGTGTTATCCAGTGCAGCAGGTATGTGTGTGTGTATTTGTGTGAGAAATGCCTTGCCTTCCCCCTGGCTGCCCAGAGTCTGGCACAGCTGCTCCAAATGCAGCCCTGTCAGTCTCTCTGGAAAGGCTTTCCTGAGGGGGGTGCTATGGCTTCTAGAGGACCCATTTAGAGTCTGGTGCAGCTGCTGGGCAAACAGGAAAGGGAGGCTACACCGTTTCTCACCCGCCCAGTAGCTGCGCCAGTCCCTCTGGGTGTACTGCCCCACCAGGTGACATCCCCTCCTGGGTGTCACCCGGTGCAGTCTATACTACCCGCACTCCCTAATGACGCCTCTGTCTCTGCCATACTTTACTTGTAATGCACTATTTCTGAACTGATATGCTGCTATTTCAGATTGTAAAAGCAACAATATACAAGATTAATATCCAAATTTCTATCAACACTTGGTGAGGGAGTGTGCACACATTTGCTCTGATTGAAAAAAATTAACACTTCAAGAAAGAGAAAACTGGAATTAAGAATACAGAGACAACTCTACTAATGCCTCATCTGTCTTTATTCAACTTTCTGAAAATAGCCTTAATCTAAGTATAAAACCACCCTGGACACTTTGGAATGTGTAGCAAAATTACCTTGGGTAAACAGTAAGGTGAAATCAATCATAACCCCCCTCCCCTATTTTTCTTGTTTTTTAATAAATATGAAAAGGACTCAATAGAAAATATAAATAAATAAATAAGCAAGCAAGCAATATAATTATGCCAAAAATATTGTATGAACAGACTCTGCAATTGAACCACTGACCATCTCAGCATGATCAATCCATATTAAAGTTGGCTGAGGGTATCAATCCATTAGGTCTCGGCCATGTCAAAAATTCACACAAGGACTCCCCCTTTCCCATTTGATCAGCATATTTCATAAGAACAACAGCTTCCTTTAAAGCACTGAACTACTAATTTAGCTGGCAATAGTAAAGTGTTAAAAATAAGACATTCAAAATGTATCTCAACGTTCAGTAATCAGCTGTGAAAAGGACAACTCAATGTGCTGTAGCTAACATCTTTCTCAGCTCATTTAGCTTTTTATTTGTCAATTGCTCTCACCTGTTCTAAGTGCTAAATTTATTTTTTAAGTACACAGTTTCCTGTCTTGTTGAGATGAAAAGCCGTTTAATGTGTTGTCAAAATCTATGCTTCTTGCCAAAGATTATTCAACTGAAATAACTGCCAAGCTGGGAGGGGGGAAACCCTACCTTTCTTAGGATACTGTTGATCTTAGGTAGCTTTTTAAAAGTGCATTTAATCATAACAAAACTCTATAAATCAGTGTTAATAGAGCACTGAACTGAAGGTACAATTTTGGTTATATTGTATAGTAAGCATCCGGATACTATCACAGGGATTTTGCTGCCAAATCTGCCTCCTGCATCCAGCCCAGGCCCCAGGGGCACTCTGGTGGCTATTTTATTAAGTCAGAAAACTCCCAGTTTCAAAAAGAGACACACTGAGCGCCCTTGGGATCCGACCTGGAACGGGCAGTGGATTCAGCAGCAAAATCCCTGTGATGAATCTGGATGCTGCCCAAATTAAGATTGAAATCAGGAGAGGTAAAAAGGTTTATTTTAGTAGTGCGATAAGCTCCTTAGAGTCATCATAATTCAGAAACAGCTTGAAGGCACACAGCAACAAAGGAGGAAGGCTTTTTGGGCCAATATCCCTTGAAGCCTGGTGAAGTGGAAAGTCCTGCTGGCATAGCAAGGATGATTGCCATTGAGCACAAGGTTAAATCTCATTCAAAAGAATGACCTGCTCACACAACATACCCGCCAACATTTCACAGATGTAAACTGGGGCACGTGTGGTCAAGCCACATCAGACTGTAGTCAAAAGAAACAAGAAGCAAAGTTTTCTAATGAGGAAGAACACACAAAATTACTCAGTTTAGAGAGCTTGGTGAAGGCCCAAGATGGGGGCATGGCCAATGAAGAGGGGCTCAGTTGTAGAAGAGGAACCTTGGGAGGCTTAGGGCCTCGGCAGACGACTAATTGGGTCGTCTTCCGGGCCCGGAAGAGGAGGGGCAGCCGCACGTTCGGCGGCCCTTCTTCTTCCTGAGGTCGCCCCGGAAGCTGCCGGCCCTCCGCACGTCCGGCGCTTCCGGGGCAACCTCCCTCTGCAGCGACCGGACGCGCTGCGGAGGATAAGACAGCGAAAGTGCACCCACCGCTTTTAGGGCGCACTTTCGCTGTCTTGAGGAAGGAGCGCTGATTTAGCACTCCTTCCAGGGACGCCGCCGGTGCGCCGAGATGCGGAGGCTGCGGCCCCGCGGCGTGCCGGCGCAGGGCGTCCTGGACGCCCTCGTCTGCTTCCCCCCTTAGATTGGGTGCCCCCCCAGGCATGGTCAGGCTTTGGGGTCCTCTTCCTCTTTTTGGAGGAGGTGGGAAGAGATTGATCCCATATCATGGGCAGTCAAAAGGGGATTGAAAATAATAAAAAACACCCAAAGTCAATCATGAGTACTTATTATAAATATGTAAAGGGAAAGCATGTTAATGTCCTCCTTGATCTTCCTTGAGCTTTTTTTTTTTTTTTTTTAAATCTGCTTCCTATTCAATGTCAGTGGATGATCTGAAGTCAACTTCAGTGGGCTGCTATGGGTACAGTCAGGTCTGATAAAAACACAAGCATGAAATCCATGCATTTAGGTTTTGAACAGAGTCATAAATTAGAAATTCCCCATAGCTGGTATTTTCAAGTTTAAGTTCTCCACTTTGAAAATGGCTGCAGAGATTCATTGTTGGGTCTTCAGACTCTGTCATTTACATTAGTATATCCAAAAAGGTTCAATTAATTTTTTTTTAAATAAAGATATATAATCAAGTTTCAAGGAAAGGATCTTATTTTGGTGTTGTATAGGGAACAATGAAGTTCTGTAATGCTGATAATGTGGAGGATATAAGCCTCATGTTGTACATGGAAACTGAAACAGCTTCAGAGGCGGGCAACACAGATGTTCAGGGATGTGGAGTGCACATACACTGAAAAAATAATGCAGTTTGACACCACTTTAAGTGCTGTAGCTCCATCCCATGTGATCATAGAATTAATAGTCTTATTAAGTCTTTGTCAGAGAGTGCTAGTGCCTCACAAAACTGCAAATCCCAGGATGGAGATAAAGCAGATAAAGTGGTATTAGACTGCATTATTTCTACAGTGTACATGCACCCATGGATAATAGCTCCTGGGAAGAATGGACAGAGAAATTAGTTCTTCAGCATGCAGAAAGGAGGACCCAAAGAACCACGACATTGCTTCCCATACCTGAAGAGCTATCACATGGAAAAGGGCAAAAACAACAACAACAACCCAATTTCTTTTCTTCTTTAGGCAAGACTAAAACTAAAAGTATAAAGTTACAGGAGGGTAAATTTTGGTTGAACATGAGGGGAAACCTTTTAACTGCAGGAGCAGTTTGATAGGTGTTTTTCTTTGTTGGAGGACTTCAACTGAGGCGGGACAGGTATTTCTTGGGGACAGTCTACCTCATGCTCCTGTGCATCAAACAGGAGAATTGACTACGTAACCTATATGGACTCTTCCAGTTCCATGAATTTTTGTGACTAAGAGTAAACAAATAATTTATCAGATGAACATCATCTGTGTACAGTGGTCCCTCCACATTTGCTGGGCTAGAAGTGAAGGACCTCCGTGAATGTGAAAAACCACAAATAAAAAAACACTATTCTTTTTATAGTTTTCTATGGTTTTTTTAGGGCCATGTGGCTGCATTCTGGAAGAATTTAGTCCTGAGGTTTCGCCGCCTTCTGTAGTTGCAGAAGCAGGTAAAATGTCAGGAATAAATTCTTCCAGAACATGTCAAAATAGCCCCCAAAACTCTCAGAGAACTATGGATGCTGGCTGTGAAAGCCTTTGACTCCACACTATTCTTTTTACCTAAGAGAACACTTCTCTAGGAATCTCCAGGTCCTCCAGTGCAACTCTATGGTCAACATCTGCCAGAAGTTGATCATAGGATCATGCTGGAGGTCCTACAAATGCCTATAGAAGTGTTTTCTCTTGGCACATCTGGATTCTCCAGCACGTCTATGGTCTACGTCTGGCAAAGGTGCACTGGAGGACCTAGAGATTCCTAGAGAGAACATATTAATCAAAACCGCAAATAATCAAAGCCTCAAAAGCCAAAGCCACAATTGTGGAGGGCCAATTGTCTATGCTGGATGGCTTAATGAGCTTTGTATAACCAGTGGTTGTGCATCTCAGTTTCAGCTGGCAAACTGTTGTAATAAGCCACACTACTCTTCTCTAGGATATAATATGGTCTAGAAAGTGAACAACATAGACAGGAAAACTTGTACCATTCTGTACTGCATCTGAACAAGTGGCTTTATATTCATGAAAGCTCATGCAAAAATAAAAAACAGTTAGTGTTAATGATGCTGCCACTTCCCCCCTCTTCCTTCCTTCCTCCTTTTTATGCTGCAAAAGACTAACACAGCTACTTCTTTGAAAACATAAGAGAAATAGCTTGAAACTGATCTGACTTTTCCCAGCATCTTTGAAGGATAGAGTACCATGATAATGACCTATCTTCTTCTGGGATGCTTCTTTTTAATCATTGTTATTGTTTTTGTTGTTGTGTGCCTTCAAGTTGTTTCTGACTTATGGCAGCCCTAAGGTGACCCTGTCATGGGGTTTTCTTGGCAAATTTCTTCAAAAAGGGGGGTTTGCCACTGTCATTCTCTGAGGCTGAGAGGGTGTGACTTGCCCAAGGTCACCCAGTGGGTTTCATGGCTCAGCAGGGATTTGAAACCTGGTCCACAGAGTCACAATCCAACACTCAAACCACTATGCCATACTGGCTCTCTTTTGAGTATTAAAGGTAAAGGTAATCCCCATTGACAAGGTTGTCAAGTCATGTCCGACCATAGGGGTGGTGCTCATCTCTGCTCCTAAGCCGAAGAGCCAGTGTTGTCAGAGACTACTCTGTGATCAGGTGGCCAGCATGATTGCACAGAACGCTGTTTACCTTTCCAACCAAGTGGTACCTATTTATCTACTTGCATTTGCATGCTTTTGAACTGCTAGATTGGCAGAAGCTGGGACTAGTGACAGGAGCTCACCCCATCATGCAGCACCTGGGCCACAAACTGCCAACCTGCCGATCTTGCAATCAACAGTGTCTTAACCACTTGAGCCACTACATCCCTAACCTTTTGAGTATTACATAGGAGCTATTTGCATCTCTAGTGATGGTCTACACTTTGAGAAATAAATGAGTATACTTAATTTATTGATGGAGAGAAATACGTTACTTCATCTCTTTCCAAACAAGTGCTTTCAGATGTATTAGATAATTCCCATCACTCCCATTTTGGCCAATTGCCATTGTGGCTAAGGAACATGTGATAAACACAAGATTGGGAGAGAAAGCTCTGCTTCAAACATTGAACAACGAATTGGCTTAGGTTGGTCATTCCTTTAGGAAGAAACCTAACATCACCTACAAAATACCCTTTCTGATTAATCTGAAGCAGCTGAAATTTTTATGAAATTATGTCATATTACAATGGAGAAATGATTAAATAAGCATATTTTGGTTCTGGAGGAATAGTAAGCAATAGCTTAAAGAGGAGTGAAAGTTGCAGACTAGGCCTTTATATTTCTATATTAATTAAGAGGACATTTGGGAGATCGAATCATTGTGAAATCTTCTTGCACCATGAGAGACATAGCAAAAAGCCAGGCTTGATCCTGGAATGAAGACCTTTTCTGTTAAAATAGAAAAACAAGGTAGAAAGCCTTCTATTTCCACTCTTTTAAGCAAATGCATATATAAAAGTATTCTCAATAGATCACATAATTAAAAAAATATACCTTCTTTAGGGACTGTGAATGATAACTTCAAGAGAAGGTGGACATACATTTTAATAAGTTCATTATTTGATCTTATATCGTTAGTGATGGAGGGTTTCAGAAAGGAATTATGTGTGCTTAGTCCTGAAGTTGCTGAGAATCAAAATGCAAGGTAAAGAATTCATTAGTGTGGGGGGGAGAACTTTGGATGAATTAAAGAAGGCATGAAATAAAGACTACAATTTGAAAAGAAATATATATCTAACAAAAATGACCTCATGGATCCAAGAATTTATTCCAAGCTTAACTGAGGGTCCCCAAGCATTTTGATTAAGAATATTCAACTTTCAGAGCCCTTCCAAAGGAGGGAACAGAATATAGCTTAAAGTCTCTGAAAGGTTACCCTGCACCAAACAGTGCCCAAAACTTGTGTGTTAGTGCTAACTATAGCAGACCCATAGAATCGGCTGGATTTATCTAGATATTGACTCATCATTCAATAATTGATGCAATTATGGGGCTACTCTGCTTGGGAGTCACCAACAGGATTCCAGCCAATATTTTATTTTACCTCCACTAGTCTCTTTTTCATCCTATGGTTTCCTCTCTTGGTAACTGTTTTCTGTACGTTACAGTACTAACTACACCACTACCTTAACATGAGTCAGAATCAGAATCTGGAAAGAACACATTATCAGTAATATAATGACAGTGGGCAATGCTGTTTCTCCCACAAAACAATGGAAAGACAAATGACCAAAATTCCTTATTGTCACTCATTGAATTATAGGGAACAGAATCATAGAATTATAGAGTTGGAAGAGACTACAAGGGCCATCCAGTCTGTCCCCTCTATCATGTAGAAATACACAAAGCACTCCTGACAGATGGCCATCCAGCTTCTGTTTAAAAACCTCCAAAGAAGGAGACTCCACCATCCTCCAAGGGAGCGTGTTCCACTGTCAAACAGCTCTTACCATTAGGAAGTTCTTCCTAATATTGAGGTGGCATCTGTTTTCCTGTACCTTGACTCCGTTGCTCAGTGTCCTATCTCTGGAGCATCAGAAAACAAGCTTGCTTCATCCTCAGTATGACATTCCTTCAAGTATTTAAACATGGCCATCACATCACCATTTAACCTTCTCTTCTCCAGGCTAAACGTACCCAGCTCCCTAAATTGCTCCTCATAGAGAAGATAGTTCCTGGTGCTTGCCATAAATATATGAGAAAGTTGAAGTGTTTTTATTTATTTCTTATTAGATGCTCAGAGCCAGCATGGTGTAGTGGTTTGAGCATTGGACTATGACTCTGCAGACCAGCGTTAAATCCCTATGGAGCCATGAACCCACCGAGTGACCTTGGGCAGGTCTCACTCTTTCAACCTCAGAAATCCCCTCTGAATAAACTTGCCAAGAAAATCCCATGATAAGTTTGTCTTAGGGTTACCATAAGGAGCTCAGAACAGTGCTACTCCCTGTTGGCTGCTGGATGAATTGGACTAAGGTAAAACAGTAACAACTCCCAGGTGGGAATCATTCAGTCTATGGACTTCAAGTGCCCCCAAGGTCATTTTTATGTAGGAAACTGTTAAATGCATTATAATCAATAGGAAAAGGAATGGAATGCACTATGGTCAATGAGATAGTCAATATCACAGTCAATATCACAGTCAGTTTAGTTCCTTTTAATTCAACAAGAATAATCAATATCCTTTAAAGTCAACTTACATACATTTATGGTTTATTTATGTATAAATTTCATTTTATATGCAGATTATATAAACATTAATCTTTTATAAGTGGCAGGGGGTGAGACCTTTGTATTTGTGAACTCCTTTTTTTTTTTTTTTTACTGTTTTGGTGTTGGAATTCTGTTTTGATCATGCAACAACAAAAATCATTTCCAAAACATGCCTTGTAAACAGCACATTCTTCCCCAGATGCCCATTTCTGTGTTGTTGAAGTGAAGGAGAATCAGTGGGAATGTGTCCAGCTATTTTCCTATAGGTGGACATGCTACAAGGACTTTATCTGCAGAGATGTCCCAGGGGATATCAGAGGTCTCTGCAGATGCTTTTACATCCATCAAAATGAAATTTTCTTTTTTAAAAAATTTGCTATTATGATTTTTGGTCATGATGATTTTTGGTGATGTCCCCTGAATCTTAACTAGGACAGTGATGGTGAACCTTTTAGAGACTGAGTGCCCAAACTTAGGGCCGTTGCAGACTGGCCCAAAGGCACGCTGGCCGCCTCAACCCCACCCTTCTGGCTGTCCCACCCCAATGGTGTATGCATGGTGTGGGGTGTCAGGACGCCCTGCTGGCTCTTAGGGTGGCCTTTTGTTGCCCATAAAAGGAGCAGAATTTTGTTGCTCTTTTTGGGGCGACAAAAGGGAGGATTGGGGCTGTGGCATGGAATTGCTGTGGCCCCGATCCGCCACTTCCTGGGGCAGCTCTGTGCCGCCCCAAACGGCTGGTCTGCATCAGCCCTTAGTGGCATTCCCGCACCAGTTGTGTCTGGGTGCCAGTGGGAGGACTTCCAGGGGGCGGGGCTGCAGCTGAAGTCAGAGGTCCAAAACATCCTGCAGAAATAATTCAGTCTGCCCTGGCTCAGTGCTAAGGAATCCCAAGAATTGTAGTTTATTGTGGCACCAGAGATCTCTGGTTAAATATCTCACCAACCTACAAATCCCAGAATCCCATAGCATTTAGCCCTGGCAGTCAAAGTGATGCCAAAATGGCTTATTCAGCAGTGCAGATGCAGCCCTAATACCAGTGGCTGAACATCACTATTTTGTGGATTTTGGATGTTACTGTATTTTGCAATATGGCCAAAAAGAGCCAGTGAGGTGTAGTAGTTTGTATGTTGAACTATGGCTCAGGAGACCAGGGTTCGATTCCCTCCTTGGGCAAGAAACCCACTGGGTGACTTTGGGCAAATCACACTCTCTCAGCCTCAGGGGATGTCAATGGCAACTCCCTCTGAAAAAATTTTGCTAAGAAAATCCTGTAACAGTTTGTTATGACTAGTCCTCTGGGAGATCAGGGTTCCGTTCCTCATGAATGGTTTCCAATAGAATAGGGTTATAGATTCTGTGGGGACTCTGCATGTTGTTGGGTTGCAGTCCCTATCATTCCTAACCATTGGTTCTGCTGACTAAGGCTGATGGAAGTTGCAGTCCATCTTTTTGAACTTTCACCTTCAATCTCTGAAGGTCCAAGCCCAGGGCTGGCTTTATCTTTGAGCTGAGTGAGGCAACCACATTCCTTTCCTCATTACTATAACAGCTGTTTGACAGTAGAACAGATCACTTGGATGGGTGGTGGACTCTCCATCTTTTGAGGCTTTGAATCAGAGGTTGGTTGGGCATTGTTCAGGAGTGCTTTAGTTTTGTATTCTTGCATGACAGGGGTTGGGATCAATGGCCCTTGTGGTCTCTTCCATCTCTAAGATTCTATGATTTTATGATTCCATCACTATGCTAGAGGATGTTTAGAATTGCCTACTTGTAAAAAGAAGAGTGCCATGAACTGGTATCATATTATCTTACCACTGCGTGGCCTAAATCATGTCCAGACTAGACCCATTAAAACAATGAGATTTACCTTTGTGTTGACTCATCATACAGCAATTAATTGAATGGGTCTACTCTAATTGGGACTAACCAGTAGGATGCCATCTGATGTTTGTTCCAGAGAGCTATAGGTAGAGAATGAAAGAGGCATTGTTGCCCATGTTCTGATTTTGTATGTGTGCAAAGCAACAATTATTTATGTTCATCATATGATAGCTTCTCTTTCACTGTTTTTTCAGGTGTTTCTGCTGCTTCAGAAACCTTCAAAACCTGTTTGAACAGGATCAATGGTGAGACAAAAAAAGTGTGAACATTATATGTAATGATGCTTCTACTATTATATATATACAAAATAACACACACAAAATAATAGAAGCATCATTACATATAATGTTCACACTTTTTTTGTATATAACCTCTTAAGAACTGTT